ATGCCAAATAGTCAACATCTTTTCGAGTTACTACCAAACACGGTCCGCTGCACCGTGAGCGACTACTAACGTGGTACTTTAGATTTGAATTATTTGTGTTAAACTGGCATATACGGTAAAATATTTTTGTTTTTCGTTGTTTATAATACTACATTGAATAATTATTTATTAGATTTAAAAAGTAATGGATTATGAAAATGAAATAGAGCGACTGCAAAGATTATTTGAAGAAGTAGAGACTGAAACTGACGAGTTTTTTTATTTTAATTTTTAAACTGTTCTCAGTTACCAATAAAGTACCTTAAAACACAAATATATATTTATTTACTTATAATAAATTTAAAATTATACTAACGGATACAAACACTTTTCCCAAAAAGCCATTTTAACACGAAAAAAAGATCCCGGTCCAGTACACCGGCGCGACTACTTATGTACGAATAACATGCGCGACCACTGCAGGGTTAAGTACACCTTCCTAACTTTAAAAGTTACAAGTGAAGTTCTGAAGTGTTTCTTTTAACAAAGTTACAAGTGAAGTGCTGAAGTGTTATTTTATTAGACAATTGATTTGCTAATAATTATTAGTGTTATATTTTTTTATTGTGTTAAGTTGAATTAATATTACTTTTTTTATTTTGTCTGTTTTGCAATATGTCTGTGACAGATAATAATACAGTTTTCATTGGATGCTTGACGATAGCAGGAAGTTTTTTTTTCAAGATTTGCAAAGAAACAATGCTGGCTGTGAGTATCAAACGAGCAAATATTCACGTCACCATAAAAAAATTAAATGGTGAGGAAACTTCAATTGTCATATTTTGCATAATATAATTTATAAAAATTTTTAATTCCAAACGGAGAAGCGATTTTATTCCACTATAAGGGTGGGTGATTCGTAACATTAATTAATTCGTGTATTAATTCTAGAATACCATTTCAAATTCTGATTTTTTGCAGACTTATACTTGAAATGTGAGCGCTACCAATGTCAATTCAGAAATTTTAAAAATTTCTAAAGATTTTGAAAAAAAAATTGCAATATAGAATTATCAAAATCGTGCATCAAAAACTTTACCCTGCTGCGAGCTATGTGAATTATTGAAAATTTCTATACATATATATCGAGTCAAATATAGTCAAAACATTGACAAAGGTAAAAAAAATGAAGTCGCTAACTTCAACGGTTGTAGAAATATGAATTTTTATCCAAGAGTCCTGAAATGCGCGGTAGAATAATAATAATATAACTGGAAACAAATTTTCGAACGCAAAAACGAAAAATGCAACTACGTATATAGCATAAGCCACTGACGGCGCGAGCAGATCAGGCAAGACAGAGTTAGCTTGTTGAATTAAATAGATATTGTAGATTTCACAACAGTGCCTAGCGACTTTTTATTGGTTGTTTTGAATTCGCGGCAAGGTCAGAGAGAGAACGATAAAACCGGGTGGGACTTTATGCTGTCCATCATAGTACATGTATAAAAATGCAATAATAATTATTATAATCCAACGTTAATGCAAAATAATGTTAATATTGAGCACATACATCTTTTATCATATCCGTATAGCATTTTGAGTTTTATTTTTGAATTTTGGGTTTTTTTTAATATTTTAATAAATTAACAACATGATTTAACAAAAAAATATCTCAAAACAATGATTGATTGCTACTTTAATGGCACATATACCAACAAAAATTCATTGATATTTTGTTGAATTAGTTTTTTTTATAAATTTAAATTATCTAGGTTGTGTTAAAACTTTTTAGCATTTTTTTGTTTATATTAGAATATATGCGTTTATTTTTTATTATTACCTTTTTCCGTTTTTGGGTGCCTTTTTAATTTCTAAGTAAAGATCGGTTTCCAATGATCAATTGTTATATTTTAAGAGAAAACTTATTTTACTACCATTGACTAGAAAAATGGATTCAATCAAATTGAGGTTAAAAAGTTTTTTAGTCGAAAATGGCCTTTAGTAGTAAATAATATCCAACTTTAAAATAATGTATTAAAGAAATAAATGATGTTTTTAAAAATCTTTACTTAACTCCGTATTTAGCAGAACAAATAATAAGAAAGTTAATTGTAACAAAAGTTACGTACAAATCATTGCGATATAATGACGTCAGCATTACCAACTTTCAATTGTTAAGTTACTGCCGTTAAATTTGCTTTTATAAGGTGTAATTCTGATGTGTTATAAAAAAATTCATTTGCGTATTGTTTACCAAGAACTGTAACAATTTCCCTGTTTTAAAACGTTTTTTTTACGAAAATAAATATATACTTTTTGTGTGTGCCATTTGCTAATAGCTTAAGGCTGGCGCGTTTTTTTGTAATTTTAAGCATCGTTTGTTGCAGCTTATTATAAATAATTTTATACATTGTGTTTATCATATTTTACCACTGTATTCTGCAAAAATTGTTACAAGGCTTGTTTGCAATGCCAAAAGTTATTAGATTGCGCACTAATAAATTTGGGGAAATTATCAGACTCCAAGTCTGACCTGGTTCGCTCTGACGACAAAGACGACTGGTAATTCAGTATTTTTGTGTTTCTGCTAATTTAGTATTTTTTGTTATGTGATAAACTTCGTTTGTTTCCTCTCTTAACACACTTAATCAAAATTTACCCGTAACAAACTCCTTATTAGTTAGTGTAAAAGATTATAACAATGATGTTATAATTCCATCCTAATAAACAGCACCCACCGCTATAAACAGTAAATAATACACTGGGCACGTGTGAATAGACCTTAATGCTAACGTCATATACCGTTGATGACGTAAACGATTTGGCCGCGACTATATCATTGTTTTAATAAAAATCTTATGTTACAAAATTATTATTAATTTATTAGGTCGAATATACCGTACCTTCATTTGCAAGCTAACCATAGGGAAAATACATTGTAACTGGACCAGATAAGTCGCAGTCAACACAAAGCGAGAACCTTCTCAGAAATGATTTGGATGCGTCGTCGAGACATGCGTACTAAAACAAATTTTACCAGATTTACACCGCACAAAATACAAAACAATAATAAAGCATCGATGTATGAAGCAAGGTCAACTGTTACGGCGCATGCTAGCTTACTCGTCCACGCGTCCAAATCATTTCTACAACGTTTTTCGCTTCGTGCTGACTAAGACTTATCTGGTCCAGTTACAATGTATTTTCCCTATGGTTAGCTTGCAAATGAAGGTACGGTATACATATCGTCGATACATATCGTCGGGTTACTGCAAAAACAATTTTAAGTAATTTGAATTTGTAACTTATTTTCATTGGGTCTATTTACTAAAAATGGTGTAATACGGTATAACTTATACCATTTCTGTTGCGCTCGACATTAATAAACCGATTCGGTTACGCTCGTAGTTGAGTTGTCTTGTCCTTGCAGACAAAATTATAAATTAAAAAATGTACTTATCTTATTATTGCAGTAACTCGACGATATACAAATATAAGTAGTAGACTACCTAAACAATACTATTATTAGAATTAACTTCAACATTTATACAAAATTTAAAAAGTTAGGTAAGGTAAAATAATTAACATTATATTTGAGTTTTTGGTTTTTTATAAATTGAAAGTTTAACATTATTTTTTAAGTCATTTTTTATGGTAACTAGCCTTTACCTCGTCACCGTGCTTTTGTTTTAAGTAAACTCCGCAAACAGTCAGCAGTTTTTGCTCGTTTTGACCTCATTAGTGCCGGGCAACCACGTGGAGTGGAAGAACACTCGAAACACACTCCGTTGCTATAAAGCGGCAGAATACAGCGAGAGCGGTAAACGAAAATTAATTAGACCCATCTACGGTCCAACGGGCATGGCCAATTATGTGTGTTGCAGAACTCTGCATACACGTTATAATGTTTAAAATACACTGGCGAAAGAAATTAACGAATCACGTTAAATAAAATTCTCTAAGAGTCTTACACAATAAAAAAAAAGAGCATCAAAAAAGAATAGTTGGTTCAGAAAATATTTAACAACAAAATAATGATACATTTATGGTGATGCGTTAATTTCTTTCGCCAGTGTATAATCAAAAATAAGTTTAAACCTATAATAATTGTGGTAGAAATATATATATATATATATATATATATATATATATATATATATATATATATATATATATATATATATATATATATACATAGCTGTTTAAAAACAACAATATTGACCACAAACATTTTTTTAAGTTCATAACTGTTAATTGCCGCACTTTGGCTTTTTCTAGTTTATTATATGTTTAACTGGATGTTTATTGTCGTGACTCTCTTTTTAAAACAACAATTTTTTTATTCCTTAATCCTGGGCTTCGCAAAACTATGTCGTCAAGATTTGGTTCCATTACTGCAGGGAAATGCTATTTTAAATGACCTATTAATCTGTTTGATTTTAATTTAAACTTATACCCATGTACTTTATTACGTACCAGAGGTATTATTATTTTTAATGTATCTTTTAGTTTTATTTAATTTACACCACAGTAATTCCCACATGAAATTACAGAAAGGCTGCGTTGCCAGGTTAAATAAAGCTGGCGTTCCGTCTTGTAAGCTGAGTTTATATTATTAGTATTGAGTTTATATTATAAGTATTAATCTTTTTAAATATATATTATTTAGTTAAAATATGATATATTTTACTAAAACCAATATATATCTAAGAAAAAGTATTACTCTTTTTAAATATATATATTTCAAACAAATTATTTATATTTAAAAAAAAATATTTATATTTTTACAAATTATTCTATATTTTATAAATCATAATTATGGCACAAACGGCGCCTCATACATATACATATCCAGATACTAAGTCTTAACATATTCTTTTAAATATAAATAAATGTATAGCCGAAAATCAATCAACAAGTAATAATATCTTTTAAAAATACATTTAGTGGAACAACAACATATTTTTTCTAATATGAGTTTATAGTGTAAACTAAAGCACGTGTGCAGATTATGTTACCTGCTTGTGGTTATATCAACGCGACTTTTAGGTCTTTGTGGTGGCATCATAGAAGAGTTATCGCTTGCATTGTCTGCCATTAGTGGAGACCCAGGCCTTGAGGCCCCTCGTCTCCAGTAATTGTCCTCTTCTTCTTCGACCTCGTCCTCCTCACTGTCTCCTGACCGATGTATAGCGCTGTTCGCAGCGTTTGCTGTACTAGCTGTTGCGGCGTTCCTATTCTCTTCGTCTTCACGTGTTAAGTCGACTCCAGCGACGATCGCGTCGCCTCCGTCCCCTGAGTTCTGAACTTCGTCGTCTGGAGCGTTATCGCCGTCGTACTGCTGCATTCGGCTATTGGCACCAGATAGCGCTACTGACTATAAAATATAAACAATAAATAAAAGCATTCTACATGATGCCAATAAGAAAATATCTAGGCCACTTAACTTTTTATTTTTTATAAAGGAATTAGGTCAAAAAATAATTTTAAAATTGTTTAACAACCTTAAATTACTTAATAAAATAAAAATAGACCTAAAACAGTCCCAATCTAAGCACGTATTTGTATAATAAATTTGGTATCATTTTTTAGTAGGTAATCTATAGTTTATTTAATTAAATATCACGTCTTTAAACCGCCGAAGCTTTTAATCCTATTTAGCGCGGCGCTCGATAGGATTAAAAGACCAAATTTAAATATTCCGTACGGAGACCTGATTTTTGGAATTACGTTTATGAAGAATTTATTTCACAGCCATGCATATTCAACTTCCAAAAAATATTTAATCTTTTTTTTATTATTATTATCTGTTTTTTATAAAGTTAATAAAAGTATTTTAAAATACCGTTTTCTAGTTTTTCACTTATGGTTACATATATATTACGTGTTTTTAATTATTAACCAAATTTCCGGAACCATGCTGTGTTGGTAACCCTATCCTTAATAGCCTGAATAAATAACGAATATAAATATGTTGGAAATGGTAATTATGACGCTTTAAAGTATCAGTCAAAACCCAAACTGAACAACTTCAAGACAGCACAAGAACATATATTCGTTGACGTGACGACATGCGTCAGCGCGCTGCGGCGGCTTTATTACATATACTATATCATAATTGGTAACGTACATATGTCATATAATATATTATGAGCTATAGCTAACGTAAGAAAGCGTAAAATTAATGCCCTTAATTTAAGAGACTAGTATATTTGGAACAGTAGAAATATGTATTTTACAAAATAAGGGGTCTTAAAAACTTCAAATGATTTTTAAAGAAAGTCAAGGCGGTGATTTTGTATAGTAAGCCAAAAGCTGGTATTGGCAAAAAAACGTGCAATTTTTTCTAATCAAAAATTTTAACCAAATAACTCGGAAACACTTAAAATTAATGTTTTATTTTGGAGTAGGGTTGCTATGTTTTATATAAATCTATTGCATGCAACTCGGTTATTAAATACTTAAAATTGTATGGGTTATAATTAATCACAATACGAATCATGGTCGTAATCAGGGTGGGCAGGGAGACAGTTGACCCAGTTGTTTTCGGAGATAAAAAAATCGTTATTTTTACATATTTTACAATGCAAAAATATTTGTGGTTAGAAAAAAACTGAGTAAAGGTATTTAGATTCAGCAAACCAATAGCCATAGTATGTGACTACTCTAGTCCGTTGGACTTGCTTGCCTTTGTTTTTTTGCGGAGCTGTGTAATATCCTAATGCAAGCCAAGAATTATAGTAGCCAAAATAATCATCTTTACTGTAAATCATTTTAACAATATTAAAGATTGCAAAATAAGTTTTTATCTATTGCTATTATGATTGTTGCGTTGAAATAAGCATGTATAATTAGTGTGTATCAATTTTTTTAAAGCTTGCTACAATTGCCGATCAAAGTTATAAAAGTATAAACAATATTTTTAATTAAGTTTAAGAGTTTAGTAAATATAGAGTTAAACATGAATTTATACATACACAAATATTATAATTAATTTACCGATTTCTAAAATCGAAGGCTGCTTATCGCATTAATACCCCTCGAGTATTGATCAAAACGCGATACTTGCACGTTTCTGCATTAATTTACTTTATGTTATACTGATACATTTTAGCTTTGTACTGTACGCACCTATATTAGGGTGGTCCTTATTTAGGGTGTGTTCGAATTTTTCTTCACGAAAGTCCTAAATAGGTTCCAAATATATAAAAAAATAATGTGCCAAATTGCATCTCTTAATTTTAAAATTAAGCCGGCCCCCCCGACAGCCAAAGTTTTAAATGGAAATAACATGGGAAAAGTTCTGTTATTACTTTGGATTTTTTTAAGTCATGAACTAATAAACGGATTATATAAAAGGATAAATATTATTGTAACAAATTTAACGCTCTACAAAAAAGGTTTCTTGTGATTTTTTGCTAACTTGACTGGTTCAAAAGTTATTTGAGGTCAAAATCAAAGTTCTAGTCAATTCCATGGTTTTTCCATTTTTATTGTTGTTTGATGATTCAAAAATGTAAAAAGGGTTATAATTTATATTCTAGATGACTTTTCTTATCTTGAAGTTTGCTCTAAAAAGAATAGTATATTCTGTAACAAGTTTAGAATACGGCATATTCCGCTCGAGTGAAAAGTTTGTCACACGAGCCGAAGGCGAGTTTGACGGTTTCACGAGAGGGGAATATGCAATTCCAAACGTGTTTCAGACTATACTTTTTCTACGTTTCCAAAATATACCATAGACAAATAATTTAATTGGAAGAAAGTGAGGTTGGATCGGTCTAAAATTTGTTAGATTAAAAACAGACATGTCGCCACGAGTGTTTATTCTGTCAGATGATAGAATATTTCATTCTGTAACACTTTACGAAATATATGTCATTCCATAGATAAAAGTGATATTAGAACGGTCATATTCCATAATAGGAGTAAAAAAAATGTTTATTGATTAAATATTATTAAAATTTCAATGGATTAAAAAAAATACCAGATGGTAAGGCATGCTAGAGGTACCGGGTTCGATACTACTAGAAGTTGTCGAACTTTTTTTATTTTTTTATTTTATAAATTTGTTGTTCCTTTGTTAAAAAGTGTTGGGTTGGGTTGGTTGGTTTGTTTTAGTTTTATCGTAACATAACAAATCTTAAAATTATGACGTCACTCGGGACTAAACTTAAGTCCCGCCTCGGGACGGGAGCCACAGCAATGTTTTTATTAAGAAGTTTGAATTTAAAACTAGAGTTTATCAAAATTTTTACCAATTAAAATCAAAATCTTTTAACAATACCTATGTCCAAAATATCTTGCGTATCCCAAAATTTAAAAAATCCTTAAAAGTTACGAATGTGCAAAAATAAAAAAAACAATTGGTGTAACTAACTTTTTAGGGTGACGATTACCCTGAAAGTTTTTTAAAAAATAGAACCATCTAAAATATAAATTATAACCCTTTTTACATTTTTGAATCATTAAACCACGTTGAAAATGGAAAAAAACATAGAATTGACTAGAACTTCCATTTTGACCTCGAATAACTTTTGAACCAGTTAAGTTAGCAAAAAATCACAAGAAACCTTTTTTGTAGAGCGTTAAATTTGTTACAAGAATATTTATCCTTCTAAAGGGTGAAGCTGGGTTCTAACAGAGAAATAACGTAATATAATTAAATTTAACTTTAAAAGTAATTTAATTTAATTTACTTGCGTTCATACAAAAAGTAACGTAATTTAATAGTGTTTGAAATTAAAAACAATATTTTAAAGAGAGTGCTTACTTAATGTATCTAAAACTTAAAGTTTTAGATATATATGGCTTACTTTGTTAATTACAATCGAAATATTTGTCTTATTATTAAAACCGTTTACACAAAATAGGTTAGATTCTCCCAAAATAGGTTAGATAATACGAAATAACCTTGAAATAACGTAATTTAATTTAAAAGATAAAAGTTGGCCAACTATTAAATTAAGTTTTAAATTACATCACTGTATGAACGTTACAAAGGATTGTTGGGTTTTTAACTTTTAAGTTAAATTAAATTACATCTTAAATTAAATTACTTTTCTGTTAGAACCAGGCTTGATTTTTGTAGAGTGTCCGAACTTTAAATTTAAATTAAATAACAACCAAATTAAATATCTTAAAAATATATATTTTATATGAAATAACATTTAATGACATTATTGTTTAAAAATAATTTCGGACAAAGCGAATTATATTAATCCAATTTCCGACCACTTTATCAAGCAATTTAGGTCTTATTTACGCAATTGTCCGAGTTATGTTAGCTTCCAAGTCTTGAATAGTTGCTGCTTTATTTACATATACCAAAGATTTAACATTTCCCCAAAGAAAATAAAGATATTTCCACAAAATTTCCCACGTAGTTCAATAACAAAGCCCAACTTTCTGCGAACGTCGACGAATTGACACATTTGGGTGTTTCTCATCACTGTCGACAACAGCGATGATATTTTCTTGGAAACGCAGTGTTTTTGTCCTTGTCTTTATTTTTATTACACCCTAAATAAGGACCACCCTAATATATATATATATATATTAGGGTGTCCCAAAAAAAAAAGAATATATTTTTTTTTCTTGTCTCTTGTAAAAATATGTTAGTTTATCATGCTGTGAGAGCCCTTTCAAAATATCAGCTCGATTAAAAATTTTGTAGGGGTCGCTCAAGATTTTTAAAAATTTTCAAAATGGTCAAAAATTGAATTTTTGTTTTATTTTAATTCTTTTTCTCGTCTCGATATTATTTTTTAGGTTGAAAATAATAAAAATTCTGTAAATTTCAAATCAATATTTTGATTTCTAAAGGTCGCTAAAAGTTCGTTGATATTTATATTCAGAGGTCGCTCGAAAACATTCAAAATACTCTATTTTGAAAGTTAAAAAAATCTTGAGCGACCTTTAGAAATTAAAATATCGATTTGAAATTTTCAGAATCATTATTATTTTTAAATTAAAAAATAATATCGGAAAGAGAAAAAAAATTAAAATAAAAAAAAATCCAATTTTTGACGATTTTCGTAATTTTTAAAAATCTTGAGCGACCCCTAAAATTTTTTTCATGGTGCTGATCTTTTGACAGGGCTCTTAAAACATGACAAACCAACATATTTTCACAAGAGACGAGAAGAAAAAAAATATTCTTTTTTTTTGGGACACCCTAATATATATATATATATATATATACATATATATAAAGTTATAAAGTGCTCTTTTAGTTCCACCCTTACATCCAAACTAAGATGTCCCATAAGCCAACTGAATGGCTTGTGCGGGTTAGGGGTAGGAACGGACCGATGGCTTAAAGTCCCCTCCGAAGGACTATATATA